TCCGATTACCATTTGTTTCGTTCTTTGCAAAACTTTCTTCTTGGAAAAAAATTTAATAATGAAGAATGCCTCAAAAATGCATTGACCGAATTTTTTGCATCAAAATCACAAGAATTTTACAACAGAGGGATTAAAATGCTTCCTGAGCGTTGGGCACAAGTAGTAGAAAACAACGGCAACTATATTGTTGATTAAATTTTGTTGTATTGTTTAAATAAATTCGATTTTAAAAAGGTATTAGAAAACAACATTAATTATTACTAGACCTAATATGACAGTTCAAGGAACTCAGCAAAAACTTACAATCATGTCAGCCTTGTGGTGCAGTGAGGGCCCAAGCTCCTCTCTGACAGCCAGAGACTCTTAGAGGTAACAAGAAGTGTGGTTTTGTAGCTTAAACAAGACCAAGGATTATTGATTTGTCTGCCTCTTTTCTGCTGAGAGCAGTAATAGCAAAATTTTGATTTAGACACTTAAATTCAAGTACCTCCCCTACTAGCTGAGCAATTTTCAAGTAATCATAGTTTTGAACTCAACCAACATGAGTCCTTTAAAGCCAATTTTAGGGGCCAATTATTTAGTTTTCCTAAGATGTGCAAGGAAGAAGATAGGATTGTTAGCCATCTTCTTGAAACTGTAGCTTCTCTTCCTGTCCAGGGTTTAAAGCTGCCTACTTACAGACCTCTGAATCTATCTGAAAAAGGGTCTGCCACTCCTATCATAGCTGACACATGTGTCATACCAAATACATGACTTCTGCTTCAAAAGCTGTTTGGAACTCAAAAGGTATTTTCCATAGGAATTATGGCATTCATGAAGGCAAGATTCCCAGACACAGAATTAGAAGAAAAGAGAAAGCCTATTTATTGAACACTTAACTAAGTGATAGATATGAGCATCAGAATCATCCGGGAGCTTGTAAAAACAGATTGCTGAGAACTACCTCCCGAGTTTCTTATTCAGTAGGTCTCGGGCAGGGCCCAAGGATGGTATTTCTAAAAATTCCTAGGCCTGGGACCACACTTAGGAGCCACTGATTACTATAAGGTATAAATCAGTCACTGATACTTTGGAAACAAAACTAGCCACCTTCAGATGCTGGAAAAGACTCTCCAACTCTAAGAAGAGATTCACAATACCATGGTATTTATCTTGCTTACAGCCTTTTAAAAACAAACAAAACCAAACAACTCTCTCCAACACTCCCTGCCCCTCTTCCCCTAAAAGCCAGCAGCGACCGTTTCTTCGTGCTTCTCTTTAAGGACACGATTCCAAATATTTCAGGACACTGGGCAATGCCTTGGGTCTTCAGAAGAGAATTTCTCCTAGGAGCTCCAGGCAACACACCCTGGAAGAAAGGACAAACCTACAGAGGAGATTCACCAATCTTCCTAAGTGTGCACAGACCACTTTAGCCGCTACTAAGAAAAGAAAAATATTTAAAAGAATGATTCTCAAGCTTTGTCCAAAAGACAACTGTGCTCATGACTAATGATCAGGGGTGAATGGGTGTAAGGATGGAGAACAGAGAGGGGATGAGAATGTATACGTGTGTGTGTGGGGGGGGGGGGGCGGGAATGAGTAGAGAAACAAAAAAATAAAAACCGCAGATAATTCTGAGATACCCATAATGACAGCTTAGGAGCTGACAATGGGATCCAGGTGAACTGAGACACTGATTCCTTAAGCTCTCAGGGTATCTGGGAAAGAAGTGAGGCACAGGAGCTCCTGGGCAGCCCTGTCTGTTTACCCAGAGTTCTCTACAAATATTATTATTTTCTGTGTGGAAGTACTGGCTTTAGAGAACAAAAGTGTTTATTCTAAACTCTGAGATTACTTTGCCAGAGATTTATGGACTTTAGTATTAGGGGCCTAATCATTTATTCATTCAGCCAATCGATATTCACTGAGAGCTTACTTTGTGTTAGGCACTGAGGATACAGTGAGTGCCTGCAAGAACAATGAGTGTTACAGAAATATAAACAATTATAAGGCAGCGAATAATATAAACCAAATGTAACTTAGTGAGAAACATCCAAATTTAGACTTGACTCTGGCTCCTCTGCTTTCTGGCTCTGTGACAGGAACAAGTCTTTCCATTTTTCTTGATTCGTGTCTACATGTAGTAACACTTGTGTAATAAGGATTAAGTAAAATAATGATGACATAGTTCTCAAACTGGCACAGGAACCCATATGAGTACTAAACAATACAGATACATGAAAGCACTGAAATAAATATGCTGCACTTTTTTGGGATGTTAATAGAATTTTGAAGATAAGACATGTTTCAAATAAACTTTAAACTTATAGTATTTCTCTGGGCTATTCCCCCACCAATGCAGGAATGAATTCCTTCTGCTCTGATGTCAGATACACTTTGGTAGGAAACACTGTGCATGGCTAACAATGCATGCGCAACAAATAGCAACCAGTACTGTTAATAATAAATAGCTGTTATTATTAACTCATTCACAGCAACAAACTTGTATTTGGCATTCCCACTTGGATCTCCTATATCCAGCAATGTGAAGGAAAAAATAACCTGAAAATCTGCCTATTACGTAACACCTAGAAAAACTTGATAAAACAAATACTTTATGTTATATAACAAATATAAGCAGAGTTGAGACTTTAAGAAAGAAAAAGAAATCTCAAGGAGTCAAAAATACAGAAGAAACTAAAAATCAGGCACTCTCTCAGTGAGCCTGAACTGCTTCAGGAAGCTCTTCTGTCTGGGCAATCAAGGGCTTTCTTTTCAAGTCACACAGAGTGTGGAACATAAGGGGCTTTGGGCCTTGGAGAGGCCATGAACTGGAATTCAAATTCCCTTGCATAAAGCTGAGACCTTAGAGGATATCATATTGTCAAAAATAAATAAATAAACTGGCTCAAAAGTACTGAGAGACAACAGGAAGCTGAGGTTAAAAAAGAAAATTTCCTTAAGAATTTGAACCTTGGCCTCCACCCTCACTCCTGAGCAGCCAGTGCACCGGAGACAAGGCTAGAACAGCTTCTGTTCCTCTCCTTTTCTCTCCATTTTCCTCTCCCTCCCCGGAGAAGAAAACAAATAAAGAAGAGCAAATAGCCACACACACAAAAAAAGAATACGAACCTCGGCCTATGAAGACTGAATTTATTCTAGTTGTGTGTTTATACAATCTGTGTGGTCCTAGTATCTCCCAGCAGAGAAATCAACTTAAAACACAGTTCCAGGCTGATAATATTTCTTGGTGATTAGTAGAAACAAAGGCAACCCGTCCTCTCTTCCTCCAGAGAAGTACTAATTATCTCATTTAATTCTCATGACTACTCTATGAATTAGATAATATCATCCCCGCTTAGAAAAGAAAAATTAAATTTAGGGAGGTTTAGCAACTTGCCTAAAGTCACCTCACTATTATAGTGTTCATTCAATTGAAATAGTAGAACTTGGTAAATGTGTTTCAATTGAATGAACAACAACCAGGTTCAAATTCCAGCTCTGTTAGATAATATTTGAGGAATTTCTAAAGCACCCCTTAGTGCTCTCTTGTATAGGACAGCTTGGAACAACCCAGTTCCCTGATATCTCTGTCACCAAGACCATTATTAATCTACTTTTTGAACTTCATTTCCCACTTTTTCCCTTTCTACTTTTCACTCCAGCTAATCTCAAGTACTGACTATACCCTGAGCATACTTGCTTACTTCCATGTGTTTGTTTGTACTGTTACCTTCACCTTCTATTTAAATTCATGATATTTTGAAGGCTCATGATATGCTAAGCACCATGCTAGCAACTTACATACATTTTCTCTTTCACTACCATACATTTCAACCCATCTTTATTTACTTGTAAATCATAACAACTGTTATTAAGCACTTTGTACCAAATATGTGCTGAGTGCTTTACAGCAGCTCATTTAATCATTAGAGCAGCCTTATGAAATAGAGCAATACTACTGCTCTCATTTTATAATGAAAACACTGAAGCTCTGAAGGTAAAAACTTGCCTGAGGCAAAGTATAGGAGAGAATGCTTCCTGGAAAAATGCTACCTGGGCCTTAAGCTGAATTCTTAAAGAATTAAGTGAAGCTGTCAGGAGACAACAGCAGGACAACGCACACAAAGACAGAGAAGTAGGAAACAGCTTGTTATGCAGTTCAGGGGGAAAATAATCAACCTTCACAATCAGCAGACCTAGGCTTAAATATCTATTTTTATTTTGTATTGTAGCCTCTTACAATGACCATGATTTTCTCATCTGTGACATGGTCATGGTAAGTTTTACATTATAGAAGTAAGTGCTCTAAGATTAAAGTGCCCAGTCTTAACCAGGTAATTCAAGGAGCATCGTCCCATAAACCAAAAGGTTACAGGTTCGATTCCTGATCAGGGCACATACCTAGGTTGCGGGTTCAATCCCCAGTTGGGACACATAATTGAGGCAACTGACTTAGTTTTTCTCTCCCATAGATGTTTCTCTCTCTCTAAAAACCCATAAAAACATATCCTCAGGAGAAGAGTAAAAAAAGAAAGATTAAAGTGCCCAGCACAGGCCCAGGCCCACAGTAGGTGCTCAATAAATGAATGTCACCTCCCTTCCTTTCTCTTTACTGACAATTCAGTGACCTTACTCTCAATAATGTGATTTCCATGTCCACTGGACCCCAGACATATCTCCCTTCTACAAGTTTGCAAGCTTTACCAAACCTTCCGGAGACACAGTATATCAAAAGTCATTCAGCAATTTACTTGGCAATGCCCTTAACCAGTGGTCGGCAAACTCATTAGTCAACAGAGCCAAATATCAACAGTATGATTGAAATTTCTTTTGAGAGCCGAAAAACGACTTTCATGGGCCAGGAAATTTCAATCGCATTGTACATGCACACCCACATGTGGTATTTTGTGGAAGAGCCACACTCAAGGGGTCAAAGAGCCACATGTGGCTTGTGAGCCGCAGTTTGACGACCACTGCCCTTCACCATCATTTCTCAAAACGAGAGCCATTCTCACCTGTGTAAGCCATGTTCTTAGGGTTGCCATAAGGAGCCCCAGGCTGCACGGGGCTGTACACGGGGTTCATTGTGGAAGACTGAGGATCCTACGGAAAAACAAAGAAAATAGCATTGATTATTAATTGTTCATTCTCCCTGACATCAGTTTCCTCCCTATAATCTTCAGTTTATAGTAGAAACAGGATGAAAACAAAAAACCATTTGTTAGAATTTGGCCCTATGCTAGACACTTTTCCCAATATACAGATGAAGATAGTGGGAAACAGATAAAACTTGCCTAACACCCAGGCCATTGTCTCTCAGTCAGTACTAGATGACTCTGTCACTAGTATGCTACCCCTCTCCTGCTGTCAACATCCTGATGTGAAATCAATTAATGTAGCCTCTCTGAGGTCCATTTTGATTCTAAGAATGCTAGTCTAGGAGCTGGGAAAAGACACATTTCTATTCCCTAGGGGAGCCCGAGTGTCTGATGAAGAGCACACAGACTTCTAGAAGGAAGAGTAGCAAGTGTCTCACCCACCCTTGGCACCTGCAGAGGACAAGATATTAGTTACTAACAGCTTTGGGTGGGAAAAAATAAAGGAAATGTAACACCACTGATCATTTTAATGCAAACAAGGAAACACAACCAAGACCTCTTTCAACATTTATTCAAGGGAAAGAAATAAACTTGGAAATTTGTGTGCAATAAGTACTACCTGCACAAGTGCTCTGTTAATTACCCTAATGAAACACATTCTCCATTCTGATTAACGGAAAATCTGCTAGTAAGCTCTATTAGCCAGCCAATTTGTCCCACCTTGTTTAGGGAACCATCTCTGAAACACAGGCCAACACAGGCTTGCAAACGTACATATTATTTACACTTCATAAAAATGAAACAATTCCCTCCTAACTAGGCTCACATGATAGATGGGCAGTTTTTTTTTTTAGGTCATTAACTTTTCCAGTACCACCTCAAGATAAGAAACAGTCAAATGTTGAAAACAAGCAGTCAACAGCTGGCTTGATAACAATTGCCCTGTGATTAATTAGTCTGTCTGGGTTCTGTAATGAGAAGTGGAGAAAAGATGGGTTCCCAAGGAGAGGAAGCCTAGGCCAAACAGGCAAAGAGGAAAATGCCACTGGCCAATTTCTGAGGATGGAACTTCCTGAAATGTACCCAATGCTCAGACCTGGCAACACCCTCTCCCCTTCCGAGCATCAGACGATATGTTACCACAAGTTGACAAATTGAAACTAAAACAATTTGAGGATAAAAGTTAAGAGATATTTCAACACAACTTAAGGGAAAAAATTTTTCTTAAATCCAGAGTTATCCTAGAATACAGCCAAGTAACTTTCTCTAAATAAAAGCATTCTCTTGACAGGGTACTGAGAGAATTAAGAGAGGTCACAGATGTTAAAATAACATTGCAAAACTGTAAAGTTACATGCAGATGTAACTGATGATGGCAATGATGCAGCAACACAGAAGAATACCAGTACACTTCCAATGCCTTGGATCTCTGCTCTCTCCAACCAGTTCTCTGCTACATAAGCGAGGATAAGAAAGACTGTTAATATGCTAAGCAGCCCAACTGGCCCTGTAAACTTCTGAGCACTCTCCTACTGAGAAAGCTCTATTTTGCTGATTGAACAAAGTATGAAATTGCTTTTTATATCCGAAGAAACTCATCAGCTTTGAAACTGGTCTCCTGCTGCTCCAAAATAAGGGCCACAGCCTCAGAAGGAGATCATGCCTAGGCAGCACTCCACAACAGCATCGATTCCAATCACAGCTAATGACTGACAGAAATGAAGTCTGCCAGGGGCTCAAAATTTGGAATATGACAGCCACTTTGGAGGAGCTGCATGCAAACAGACACGGTTCCTGTCTTTACAACAGAACCCACACACTGTTATCGGTTTATGGGCCAGTTAAAAATGAATAGGAAGATCACAAGCTCTGTGATCAGGCAGATTTAGGTTCAAATCCCAAATGTGGGACCACAGGCAAGCCTTTCTAAGCCATAGTTTCTTCTATCCTCAAAATGGAAAAACAAATAACATATACTTTGTAGAGTTGTTGGAAGGTATTTTTAAAGATAGGTTCCTTTACATATAGTAAAACTTACCCAAAAGGTATACAGTTCTATAAGCCTTAAAAAATGTATACAGTTGTAAAAACGCCACTACAATCCTATATAGCCCTATACAATAAAGGCTAATATGTAAATAGATCAAATGGTGGAACAACCGAACAACCAACCAACCAATTACCATGATGTGAACTGACCACCAGGGGCGTGCACAGAACAAGCATTGGCAGCAGAGAGCAGAACATGGTGGGCATCAGCTGAGGTGGGATGGTGGAGCAGATGAGCGGGGGCACCAAACCAAGGCAGGGCACTGGTTGCTGTCATCGGGGTGAGCTTCTGGTGGTTACTGAAAATTCTACTCCTGAGGGGTGATCAGGGCAGCAGTCACTGCTTGCACCCACTGATAGCACCGGCCCAACTAGCACCTGGTGCTGGCACTGGCCCCAATCACTCCACACCATTAGCAGTGTGAGTGGGGCCGGCACTGTCAGCTCATGGGTGTGTCAGTGGTGGGAGCTGGAGCTGCTGGCAGAAAGGGGCCCAGGGGCCACAGCAGGATGGGGCTGAAGGGGGTGCAGATGATGGGCCAAGATCTGCCCCTGTGCCCATTACAGCCTCGCGGCCCATAGTCCCTTTCAAGGTGCATGAATTTATGCACTGGGCCCCTAGTCTATAATAATAAAAGCATATTATGCCTCAGCCTTGCCAACATGGCTTTGTTCAGAAGGTCTCCCAGTCTAATTAGCTTATTACCCTTTCATTAGTATAGATTATCATCACCCTCAAAAGTTCTCTCATCTTTGTAGTCAATGCTCCCACCCCTGACTCCCAGTCCATGGCAATCACTGAGTGAAGCTGAGAAAAGGCAAGTGGACAACAATCCAAGTTCACAAAGCAAGTAAGAGACAAGTTCAAGATTAGCACCCAAATGGATCAAAGACTAAATGAGAACTAACAAAAACTCTTGAAGAGAGAACAACATATAGGCACAAACTTTCATGACCTTGGATTTGGAAATGGTTTCTTAGATATGCTACCAATAGCACAAATAACAAAGAGTGAGCCCTAACTGGTTTGGCTCAATGGATAGAGCGTCAGCCTGTGAATTGAAGGGTCCCAGGTTCAATTCTGGTCAAGGCTACATGCCCAGGATATGGGCTCAATCCCCAATGGGGGGCATGCAGGAAGTAGCCAATGAATGATTCTCTCTCATCCCTGATGTTTCTCTCTTTCTCCCTCTCTCTCTGAAATCAATAAAATATATTTTTAAAAATAACCAAAGAGTGGGGGAGGGGACAGATAAACTGGATTCATCAAAACTAAAAACTTTTGTGCTTTAAAGAATAACATCAAGAAAGTAAAAAGACAACCCACAGAATGAACTTTTTTTGTAGATTTGCAACTAAAATATATAAAGAACTCTTATCTCAATAATAAAAGGGCCAATAATCTGAGAGGATCCACAATCACATCAAAATTATAACTAAGCCCTAGCCAGTTTGGCTCAATGGAGAGCAACACACTCAACGGGCAGACTCAGTGAGCACCAAAACCCCACTGAAGTAAGTCCTGCTCCAGAAGGGCGTCTCCTACACAGCAGCTCTCCCACTGCAGTCACAGCTGGTCCTCACAGCCAACTGGCATGAAGATCAGCTCCTCCTAGTTGACCTAGCAGGCAGTAGCAGGAAGAAAGGTAGGGTTGTTAAATGACAAACTCACCATGTCCAAAAGTGATCAACTCCTCCTTGAGGCCAATAGCAATCAAGGCTCACTTACAACAAACCTTTGCACACAGTCCACACCTAGAGTGCCCTGCTCAGGTGACTGGGGAGGCTTAGCCACTGGGCCCTACAGGACACCTTCTACGCAAGGCCACTAAGAATTCCAGGAGACACTGCAGCTCTACCTAACACACAGACACAAACACAGGGAGGCAGTTAAAAATGTGGAGACCAAGAAACACATCACAAATGAAAGAAATGGAAGAAAGCAAACACTTTTTAAAACACTTTATTTTGTTGATTTGAGAGAGAATGAGGAAAGAAGAGAGAAACATCAGTTTGTTGTTCCACCTCTTTATACATTCATTGGTTGTTTCCTCTGTGTGCCCTGATTAGGGATCAAACTCATAACCTTCCCATATTGAGATGATGCTCTAGCCAACTAAGGTACTCGGCCAGGACTGAACATACATTTCTTCAATGAAGATACATAAATGGCCAATAAGCACATGAAAAAATACAAATGAAAACCATGAGGCCCTGGCTAGGTAGCTCAGTTGGTTAAAGCATCATCCTGATGTGGCAACTCCTGGACAGGGCTCATATAAGAATCAATCAAGGAATGCATAAATAGGCTGAACAACAAATTGATCTCTTTCTCAATTCCTTCCTTTCTCTCTCTCTCTCTCTCTCTCTCTCTCTCTCTCTCTCTCTCTCTCTCTTAAATCAATCAAATTAAAAAAAAAAAGTAAATCCATAATGAGGTACCACTTCACATACACTAGGATGGCTATTATAAAAACACACACAGAGATAATAAAAAGAGTTGGCAAGAATGTGAAGAAATTGGAATCCTTAGACAATACTTATGGGAATGTAAAATAATACAGTTGCTTTGTAAAGAGTCTGACTTCCTCAAATGTAGTTACCATATGATCCAACAATGCCACTCTTAGGTATATACCAAAGAGAAATGAACATGTATGTCCACACAAATGTTCATAGCAGAATTATTCATAATAATCAGAGTCCAGAGTGCTAACCATTACACAATGGAATATTCATAATAATCAAAAGGTGGAAACAATCAAATGTCCAAGAGATGAATGGATAAAGGACATGTGATATATTCATAGATTGAAGAATTTGGCAATAAAAAGTAATGAAGTATTGATAAATGCTACATCATGATGAACCTTAAAAACATTCTATTAAGTGAAAGAAGCCAGTAACAAAAGGCCACATATCATGTGATCCATTTAT